ATCAACAGTAGTGGTATCATTTTTGTCAAAATAACACTATCTTCTTCTCACCACCCGATGTGACCTGGAATGTGTGAAAGTGTTGTTCAACCACTTGGACGACCTCGAGGCCGGGCAGTCTTTAACGCTTCTCTTCGACGAACGGGTCCAACTCGCCAGTTCGGCATGAGGCACTGCGGTACAGGAAATCGCAAGTCTCGTGGTCGTCTTCATGCTGAGCAACAGCATGGCAGAACCGAAATGCAGTCAGGCGGTCACATCGTTTTTGCATACATCAGCTTGTTGTGTATCTGCAGAGTGGGCATGTGGAGACGGGTTGATATGCACAGCCAAATGCAGCAGAATTAACGACAACTGATACGATAGGCCTGGCAACATCACTACGGTCTGCTGGACGACATGAGGAGCAGAGAGGAACTCTGACTTTTCTCCCGCCTACTCGGCTATGTACCAACTAATCTCGTCTGACAGTCTCATCTCGATAGTTCCAAGCGTGACCTGAACCAGACGATACAGACCGGAGGCTTAGTGCCTGCTATGGTTACTCTCGGCCCGAAGTCTAACTCAACTGGACCGCTCAGTTGGCCAGGTCCGGTCGAGCTCGTCTGACCGGATAGGCGTTGTTAAGCCAATAATTTAGTAGTCTCTCCAAGTGAACCATAGAAGCACTGACGGAGAACAGAATGATGCTTGACAGTGCGTGTTTGCCTGTCTTGATCATCATATATTCACATGACCTGTAGGGGCAGCAAGTAGCCGGACGAGCGTTTATTGCACTATCATTTGAAGAGAAGATTACCCATTTGGTTGAGGTAAATTTAGACAATATTCTGAAGAACAAAATGGAGGGCGATATCAAAAATGTGAGTGCATATTGCTAATTTGTGTATTTGCCAAGTGTATTCACCGTATTTAGTTTAAGGTGATAAAGAACTGGTAGTTGAATTTTCCCACAATCATATGAGTAAAGGTGACGTTTCACTTGAATTTGTGAAATTCTACTAACAGTCCTTCATCACCATAAACGAAATAGGGTGAATACCTCTCATATTAATGATTTACTGGTAGTCTCGAAACTCTACTCAAACACGAAAAATAAGTAACGTAGTCGATTGTTATATCAAATGTACGTTTGCTTCATCGACAATATCACCAAAAAGAATATGATATGGCGAAAGGCCTGACCTTCCTTGAAATTCACATCTGGCCTGTGACCCAAGGGCTCTCGTGACAATATGGTCGAGTGGTTGACGTGGCAAACTGCCATTCTGCACTTTCACATTCGACTCCCACTGGGGGTGTTGATAAGACGAATGCGAAGTCGAAACTGCAGTCCACTGGTGCCTGGATGAGAACAACATTGGGAAAGCAAGGCAATGTGAAATTCAATGGAAACGTCAGCTCTACTCATATCATTGTGGGAAAATTCTTCTTCTACCAGTCCGTCATCACCGTAAACGAAATAGAGTGAATACATCTCATATTAATGATATAGTAGCCTTTCCAAGTGAACCACACAAGTACTGACGGAGAACAGAATGATGCTTGACAGTGCGTGTTTGCCTGTCTTGATCATCATATATTCACATGACCTGTAGGGGCAGCAAGTAGCCGGACGAGCGTTTATTGCACTATCATTTGAAGAGAAGATTACCCATTTGGTTGAGGTAAATTTAGACAATATTCTGAAGAACAAAATGGAGGGCGATATCAAAAATGTGAGTGCATATTGCTAATTTGTGTATTTGCCAAGTGTATTCACCGTATTTAGTTTAAGGTGATAAAGAACTGGTAGTTGAATTTTCCCACAATCATATGAGTAAAGGTGACGTTTCACTTGAATTTGTGAAATTCTACTAACAGTCCTTCATCACCATAAACGAAATAGGGTGAATACCTCTCATATTAATGATTTACTGGTAGTCTCGAAACTCTACTCAAACACGAAAAATAAGCAACGTAGTCGATTTTTATAGCAAATCCCACCAAAGAATATGATATGGCAAAATGCCTGGCCCTCCTTGAAATTCACACCTGCCCTGTGACCCAAGGGCTCTCGTGACAATGTGGTCGAGTGGTTAACGTGTCAAGCTGCACTGTCACGGTTCGATTCCCGCCGGGGGTGTTGTTAAGACCTGAACGAGGTCGAAACTGAAGTCCACTGGTACCTGGATGAGAACAACTTTTGGGGAACCAAGACACTGTGAACTTTAATGGAAACATAAAGGCCTACTCATATCATTTTGTTAAAATCCAACTACCAGTCCTCTTATCACCTTCAACGAAATTCGGCGATTGGGCCGAATGGTGATGCATCAAAGACTTTGATACAGAAGGGAATGCTGTAAGGAGAGAAGGGAGAAAATAATGTAAGAGCTATTTTAAGGTGTTTCGCTAGCGCAAAGTGTGAACATGATCTGTCTTGACCTTAATTAGACGGAAAAGTTTTATTCCTCCTTTGCCATAGCTGATGGCGGTCTTAAAGTGACTATCTAAACTGTGAGAAAGCGATCACACTTTTGGGAATCAAAGCTGAGACTAATTAACTAGGGCAGCTTACAATTAAAGCAAGTCTGACTTCTGCATCTACTCATTAAAGAACTGTCAAAATGACCGAAATGGCAGACGAAATCAGTAAGAATAAGTATAATAACTTATGTAAAGTACAATTATTATTGCTAACACTGAGCTTATAAATGATAGAACAGTATTTTTAATCTTGTTTGACTGAATTTAGTTTCGTGTGAAAGACTGCAATTAAATTACTGATGGGCCGATCCCACAAGCAGAATCCATAGTAGCATTGCGAATATCTGGATCGTCCACTTTTACGCGAAATAAACCTTAATCAAATAATGATATATCAAAATATTTATGTCCCTCGAGCTTCTTTTCATATTTGACATTGATCAAGTCCTATCATGTGGCTCCTCATGAAGTTACGAGTCGAAAGTGGTCTGACTTCGTTTTGTCATTTGATCGCGTTGTCAAGGCCTCGTCGAAATACGTGCCCTGTGCAATCTTCTGCCAAAGATCATATGCAAAACTCAATCAACAAAAGAGGTGTGCTAAAATTACTTGATGATACAATAGACTAATTGGAAGAAATCATGCCAACTATGGTAGAGAACGCAGACAGTGGCCATGGCAACACGTTTAAGTTGCAAAAAAGTGGTCAGACCAATTTTTAACTTCGAAG